CCGGAGGTGCCACATCAGCACAACTTGTCTGTACACACTCGAGTTAGTCACAAATATCGAGGTCCCCGCGCATTGGAAACACGCCGGTTTAAGTGTAGAAAATGTATGCGACAGCAAGACCCCACGCACCGAGGCCTCTGTGCAGTCTCGACAGCCGGTCTTTAAAGGAAATTGAGAGAAGTGCTTACAGTGTTGGACAGGCTCAACGAGAACCTGCCAGAGTCTCCTGTCAAGGTTTGAGAATCAGTGTTGCAATCTCATTAAACGAACAAGGCCTTTCAGTCAGAGCTGCAGAGAGAGCGGAAAGCAGCATTGTGTTTATATTTGCGTATCCCCTAGTCTGTACATATATATACTGCGTATTCCAAAAGAGGAAAGCAGGGCAAGAAAATGTTTTCATTAAAATGTACTGTGTTCCATAAAACGCTTGGGATGCCTCGTTATTTCTTATACATGAGAAAGCCTGATCGTTTAGGAAATTGACTTACCTGAAATATTGAATTACTCTTGTATGTTTGGTGGCAATTTGCTTTTTTTTTTTATTCGATATCATTTACAGCAGGGAAATAGGTTCACATCACAATGTGATAAGTGACCAATGTGGGCACATAGCTATACATCCAGTTTTACAATGAAGCAGCAGGATAGAGATCATGGTCTGTTCAAGGATGTTATGGTTGTTCATTTTTATTCACAGCCTTTTTCTTCAACTGCAGCAGGATGTTCATCCAAACAACCTGTAGCTGTATAACTCTACACAACTTGTTACCTTAACTGTCTGAGCTGTAAGTGCTTCTGGGTGTTTTTTTTGTTCCTCTCACATATTTAATTACTTTGGGCTCATTTTTCACTGCAATGTTAAGTTCTTCATGTTTATGGAAATAGCACAACCATTGCCAGAAATGAAAACTGTATTATAGAATTACATTATAAGTTAAAATTCTTTCAGTATTCATTTTATGAGAATTAGAAAACAAGCAAAAAAAAAACAAAAAAAACCTGGAATCAACATGTGTAACATTTTCCAAGTGCCCTCAGGTGTTACAAACGCTGGAAAAAAATGGCGACTCCACAAACTAGAGATATTATACTAACATTTTTTATTTGTTTGCATCCTTGTGTCCCATCTGTTCTGTGTAAAAACAGCCTGCAGTTCAGCTCAGATCAGCCAAATAGTCCCAGAATTTTTGTCACGTAACTGTTGGTCGCAGCGAGCCACCGATGGCTTCTTGGTGCGCTGGGGAGTACAGAATTTTATTTATTTTTTATTTTTTACAGAATCTAGTTACTGGAGTTATTTTTTTGGGGCGATTTTTTAAAAATGAGACATGTTGATTAAAGTGATTTTGATGAAATATAAGACTTAGATTTGGTTGCTTTTGCAGAAAAAAACAGAAAGTCACACGCGATTAGTTCAAGGCCGGTCGGGGTGTTTAAAATCCAACGATTCTTTCTGTTTCTTACAGTTTCTGGCTCTGATAGATGGTGTAATTTTGGTGATTTATTTATTTATTTTTAATTACATGCCTTTAAACCTGCCGGTGGGTTTTGAGGGTTTGAGGTCATTAGGGTTAATTGGGTAATTCACATGACACACACACATACCCCCACCACCATCATTAATCTGAAGCAAGGTGTCTCAAGTTGTTTGCTTGAGGATAGGTTTGAGTTGTGTGGTACAGATGGTTGATTCATGGTTATGCCATGCTAGCAGATGGCTGTAGTTGAGGGCAGGCAGCTGGTGGTGTGAGGAAGCAGAAGGCAGCACAGCGTCCCTGCTACTGTGTGTGGCTACCAGTGCTATTTATTCACATTTATTTATCTAGAGAAAGTTAAGTGTGGCTAGATGCTCTTGTTTAGCCCCACCCTGTATCACAGTCGCTGAGAGCACTGCCGCATTTGCCATTCTGTGCCATGCTCGAGTGTGTTCGAGCCCAAAGTCTGGTGCTGTTGTGTGAACGTTGTGTACCACACCCAAGCACAATGCAACAATCTGGGACCGGGCCCATTTGGAAGAGCTGGACTTGGGTCCAGATCAGACAAACGTGTGTGCAATATGCATCCATAAGCCAGCTGTAACACAAGCAGGAAGGACACTGCTGATGGGGATATGACGTCAATATTACTTTTTTAAACATTGCCCCCGCTTAAGGATCTCTCTGGTGATGAAATTCTATGTTTACCATACATTTGGTAAAACAAAGCTATCCGTCTCTGCACCACCTGTCTCCTTAGGAGTCTGTGTATGCATGTCGGTCTTGACACTAGCATCTGCTTCGCTGCATGACTGATGAGGTTTGAAGACAGATGAGAGTGTGTCAAGTGTCCTCCTTCTCTGTGCCTCCAAAAAAACAAAAGCAATTCCAAGTTGAAGTAGCGCTCCATTATAAGGCTAGCTGTAGGAACTGGATTTGGCACATCTTTTTGCTGTGTATGCTCTCTCACTCTGGCCAGCGGAAGAGTTGGGAGGAGAAATTGTACTCAGCCACAGTACAGATCAATCGTAGTTAATCTGGAAGTGCTCTTAGTTACGCACATTCACACTTGGGTGATGTCAAGCATAAAACATGTTTTCCTGTTTGTAGCCACTGAGCAGCTCCACTGGAGCAGCTGACAAGGTCAGGTGCCTTGCTAAGGGGCACAGTGATGGTGTTTAAAGACAGGAGAGTGCTTCTTATTCACTTATCTTTCCAGATTCGTCTAACTAGTTAAATAGTTGAGAGAAACTGACCTTATGCAAAACAAAAACCCGTGAATAAATGGATAAAATAGGTTACAAATCAATTTGTCTGTGACAGCAGGGTTACTTGAAAGCCACCAGCTGCAAAAATTGCCTCAGCATTTTAAACGACAACCTTTACGCCCTCTATTCTCCATCCCTGCTTTATTAGTGAGGCTGCCTTTGTTTGTATGATTGTAGCAGCGGTCAAATTTTGTGATTGTGGAATAATGAGTTCACATTGTTGTGGCTGTCATCATTTTCATTATGATTCTGCTTCACATTGTCAGCTCCCCCCGAGAACAAAGCAGATGTTTAGTTGTTTCCAACTGCACTATGCATCAGCCGGTAGAACGCATCGCTCTGACCACTTGTCAAGTTATTACTAATCAATGAATACAGTGTGAATTTATCAGTACGGCAGCTTGATTTATGCATGACTGAAAAATAATTTTATATCGCTTTGTTCCACACAAATAAAGTTAGTTTTTGTAATAGGAATGAAAACTGTTTTGAGGTGCCAAATATGTAACTTCTCCACTTTAAAATGTCCAAAAACAACCAGACTTGTGTTACATATTTGCTCATGCTTATCCATATCCTTCTAACAAAACTAGAGCAGTCCGTGAATTTATTCAGTCTAATGGTGTGTTTCTTTTTCACTGCTTGTCAGCGGCGTCATTTCACCTTTACCTGCTGTAGCCGGGGTCAGAAGAGTGTGCAGAATGAAGAACAAGGAGTAGCTAATTATTTGCTCAGTTGTGATGGATTACAGTTATTTTAGTATGATTATTTTGACCACAATTGAATTTGCCACATAACATAAGCTACAGTAGCTCTATGGCTAGTCGACCCTTCTGATGGTATGTTAACAGGTTCAACTGAAATGAAACGTTTTATTGTAATTTCTTTAGCTGTATTGCCCAGCCCTCGGTGTTGTTGTTGTCGGGTATCTCCAGCACATCCACAGTACCTTTAATACCTACTACAAGAAAAAGGTTGAGTTCGCAGTTCAAAACAGTAGAGAGAATTACTGTACACATATTTCGTGTCCTGAGCTTTTACTGGCAGCTCAAGAATTTAACAAGATTTACCTTGAGGTGACATCAGCCCATGTTAGACCAACCAATCAGGCGCTTTGTGAGGTTGCTCGGATGATGTATGAACATTTCACCACATTAATTTTATTGCCCCTGATAAAATACTACCCGTCATGTGTGATGAAATGAACATACTGTACGCAGTTACTTTTCTGACCTGAGTAGAAATGCACTATTGAAACATGTCACATCCTTTTTACAGAAAAAAGAAAGGGCCTTCATTTATCTCTTTGTGTTTGAGTTCAGGTTTTTGTGGTGTATTGGCAATTAGAGGTCTGACAGGCTAGTTTTATTGTAGTGGGATGATAGGTGAAAACGACAATTTACCTTTCATCCGGATACGTTTTGAACTCCTCGCATTTTCTCATGCACAAGATGTTCTGTCGGGAAAAAAAAAAAAGGCTCTTATGTAATGAGTCCTATCCAAACATCCAAGGAAACGTTTGCTCCAAAAGTAGGCCAATAAAATAATTACTCAGATGAATAAAAAGGAAAAGAAATAAGGAGGAGAAGAGGGAGAGGAAGGAATAACTTAAGAGCAGGGGCTGATAGGTTTGTTTGATATAAATTCTAAATAGATTGGAGTCTCACTCATTCTCTGCCTTTTTTTTTTTCTCAAGCTGGGACTGAATTCATTTAGCTCAAACATCACCCTTATTTTTGCACACTTCTCCTCTTTGTGAACTCTACACTCAGTATCGCCTCAGTTGAACATATTCTAAAGATCCTGCAGAACAAAGATCCTCATGTATGCGTCTGAGCGCTGAATCCGGGGAGTGGTGCGGCCCGTGGGTTTCGGTTTAGACTGAGAGGATCCCACCAGAACACTACTTATCATGTCAGTAACCATGGTGATATAAAGTTGAGCCGTGCGGAGCATTGATCAGTCTCTGAGCTGTCATCATCATCCAAATAATCCCCCTTCCCTTAGGCGACTCTCACCTGTAGTACCCTTCACACTCTCAGCCTGACAGTTTTCATCAACATTCATCTCTGGCTCGCTCCTCTGCTCATTTTGTCTTCTCCAAGTAAAATATTATTGTAATCCAGCATCTGTTTTTTACCACCGAGTCAATATTGTTTTGTTCTTTTATCGATCTGTAACCACCGTCGTATTTGTCACGAGGATATTAAGCTGTCTTTTCGGCTGTGACTGTGAGTTTCCCCATTTCCCTCCACAGACACGCCATTCAGAGACGGTCAGGAGCGAGACCTGAAGGCGGCCCTGAAGGGGACGGATCCCTCCATCCCGCTGGTGTTCGTCAGTGGGAACCATGACCTAGGGAACACCCCCACACCCGGCACTGTGGAGCAGTACTGCAATGCTTGGGGGGACGACTATTTCAGCTTCTGGGTGAGCCGACACTTAATAGATTCAGTTGTAGAAGCATCTCCAGTAGTAATACTTGTATAATGGGTGCATGTAGATGATCAGCTGGTTCTGTGTTTTGCAGTTAATTTGTTGTGGGACATTACTCCTGTTTTTCAATGAATATATCATGTATCGCTGAAGTCACTTATCTGTTAAAGGATGCTTTTAGATATCGTGCTTCCATAAAGTTTGGCAGATAGATTAATCCCTGAACCACTTTATTGAACTGCTCTCAAAGTATTTATTACAGCAAGTTTTTGCACATAGCAATTCAAACTGCACGACTTGACCTTTCAAACAATTCCAGTCTCTTGGCTGTGGGGCGGAGTGTCAGCGACAAAATCTTGAATTTACGTCATCACCTCCACATCTGTCACTCTTGTTTCAATTACTTGTGAACTCATCATAACACAGAGATATGGGGCACATAATGCAAACATTTGCCTGGTTTGCCACCTCTGCAAGTAGGTCACTGTATGTGAACACTTCAGTGGATAAAACAATTACATTTATCTCCGTCAGGCACTATTCTTCAAATTGCACACAGTATCCAAGCATCGTGTTCCCAATATTGCCAGATTCCAGACATTCTCCTCCACAGAAAGATATCTCAACTGCAAATATGGTATGCTGAGATACATGTAAGAATGTGACAGTTTCATAACACACTATGTACATAGTACACTTTTCTTTTTTTCCTTGAAGCTAATACAGAAAAATCTGCCAGAATGATTAAATTAAATCGTAGAACAGGCAGATAGTCCAAAATGCTCTGTGAAAAATAAAATACAGCATGTGTGGCTAGGGCTTGGTGGTCAGCATCGTTGCCTCACAGTTAGAGGATCCCCAGTTTGTATCCCAGTTAAGACACCAGGTTCTCCAGCTTCCTCCCACAGTCCAAGGGTAATTGGTGATTCTAAATTGTCCGTAGGTGTGAATGTGAGTGTGCTTGGTTGTCTCTTACGTGTAGCCCTGTGATAGACTGGTTACCTGCCCAGGGTGTCCCCTGCCTTCACCCTGAGTCAGCTGGGATAGGCTCCATCCCCCCACACCCCTAGCGAGGATTAAGCTATGTATAGATAATGGATGGATGGATGGCTAGCCCTTATAACCCTTGTAACTTTTTAACTCTTTTAGGCAAAGAACCTATAAGTAAAAGTCCAGCCCCACCTTGCCCTCTGTGAAAAAGTACTCGCCTCCTTAGTGACCAATCTACCTAATGACCAATTTCATTTGGTAACTGGGTTCATTTTTACCAGCCACACCCACATATGATTACTGCCAGGCTTGTTGAATCTAAAGATCATTTAAATAGAACCTGTCTGACATTGTGAAGTAGCTAAAAGGTCTCAAAAAGCAGTGCATGCTGCCACATTCTAAAGAGATTCAAGAACAGATGCAAAGCAAAGTCATTGATTTATCAGTCTGGAAAGAGTTACAAAGCCATTACTGCGGCTCTGGGACTCCAGCAAACCACACGAGAGCCATTTTCCACAAATGGAGAAAACAGGAAACAGTGACGAACCTTCCCAGGACTGGCCAGCCGACCAAAATTTCTCCATGAGCGTGTCAACATGCTATCAAGGAGGTCACAAAAGAACGAACATCAAAAGACCCGCAGGCCTCACTTGCCTCAGTTAAGGCCAGTGTACATGATTCCACAATAAGAAAGACACTGGGCAAAAATGGCTTCTATGGGAGAGAAGCAAGGCCCAACCACTCCTGACCAAAAAGAACATAAAGGCTCATCTGGCATTTGCAAGGAAATATCTTGATGAGCCCCAAGAGCCTTTGGGATAACATCCTGTGGACTGATGAGTCAAAACTGGAATTTTTTAGAGGACATGGGTCTTGTTACATCTGGTGTAAAGCTCGTACTGCATTCCACAAGATGAACATCATACCAACAGTGAAACATGATGGTGGTAGTGTGATGGTTTGGGGCTACTTTGATTTCACAAGACCTGGACTACTTGTCATATTTTGATGGAGCCATGAATTCTTAAAAAATATTTTCTTTTACAGGCTTTTTGCCTTTATTAGCAGGGCAATGGAGAGAGACAGGAAAGGGGAAGAAGAATGGGGAAAGACCTGCAGCAAATGGCCATGGGCGGGAGTCGAACCCACGACCGCTGCGTCGGGGACTATAACCCCTGTATATGAGTCTAAGTCTACTGGACGGACTAACATCACTTGTTTCAAAGGATAATAACTCATTTAGTGTTTCGATGATGGCGGTGGAGAGTGCTTCATCCAAAATCTCCCATAGGCGTTCACTTGGGTTGAGATCCGGTGACTGTAAAGGCCATAGCATATGACCACTTTTACACTCGTCAAACCATTCAGTGACCCCTCTGGAATGGGTCATCGTCACTGTAGACAAAACCACTGCCATCAGGATAGAAACATTTCATCATAGGATAAAGGTGATCACTCAGAACAGCTTTTCATTCATTTGCAGTGACCCTTCCCTCTAATGGGACAAGTGGACCGAAACCATGTCAGCAAAATCCCCCCTGCAGCATAACAGAGCCACCAGATCTCCTCCCTATAGGGGCCAAGGGTTCAGGATTTTCCGATTTTGTGTCACTCATCTGTAAATGAGAATTGAATGTAGTGCGATGTCAGAGGTACAACGATACAGGAAACACAACACAAACAATACTGATAAACTAAAAAAGCATTCTGTCTAGCTATGTCTGAGCTCGTATGGGGTGAGCGTACTGATCAAGTCTTCAGAGTGCACCACGCTGATGAGCTCTTATTAAGTGGCTGAAGTAGCAGCATTTTCAGGCATCTATGGATTGTTAAAACCTTGTAATTTGAGGAAAAAGTAGTGGCTGACAAGTATCAGAGACGTCTGAAGGTACACAATAGGAAATGTTGAGTGTAATTCACAAGTTTGCATTGTGCTTAGGAGCTGTCTTTGATGGACTCTGAAGTGCATCAGTTCATCAGTGATGTTTGTCTAAATCAGAGGGACATCAGAGGGCTTTTTCTTTGTGAATTGCAGTACTGATTGAGCCTCTAGCCTGCATTTGTAATGTGTTTCCATGTTAACATTACAGCTTCTTTGACACACGTTTTGTCACACTTGACCAAAAGGGGAATATGCTCACATAGGCACACATTAATTTATGTATCATTAGTAAAATTTGCATGTTAATTTTCATCGATCCTCTATTTAGAAGTTGGGTTTTGGATACAGTAGCTTACAGTGAAGTAGTACAGCAAAATGAAGAGAGAAATAAAAATAGCAATAACTAAACGTTATGGATGTAATTTAAAACCGTTTAACTTATTGTTTTTCTCTCTCTTCTCTTTCTCACTCTTGTTGTCTCAGGTGGGTGGAGTTCTCTGCCTGGTTCTGAACTCCCAGTTGTTCTACGACGCCTCGGCCTGCCCTCAGCTGAAGGAGGCTCAGGAGACCTGGCTGGAGGCGCAGCTGAGCAGGGCCTCCTCCTCCTCCTCAACGGTAGGATGGCATGACTCTGATCTGATTCATGAAGATGTTTAGATAGATGTTGTCTTCCTTTTCGCTGTGTCTCGGTAACTGCGGCCATCTGTAGCAATAGGACACCTGATATGTATTGTGTCTGTGATGCTCTAACCTGGTACATGTCTCTGTTCAGGAACCCAAACCCAAACATGTCCTGGTATTCCAGCACATTCCTCTGTATCTAGAGAGCCCAGATGAAGAGGAGCAATACTTCAACCTGCAGATGGTGGTCCGACAAAACCTGCTGGACAGGTTCAAGAAGGCAGGTAGGAGATCAGGGAAGACAAATGATGGGTTTCTTATACCTAACTCCTCGATTCACCCTGTGGGGACCAACTTACTGTGTACATGTGTGTCCAGTATTTTGCTCAAGAGCACTAACAGGAACTATCTTTTGTTTCATAAAACTACCTAATCTTTTTAGTCCAATTCTGTGTATGTTGGGCTCCAATTAGAAGTCACTGAAGAGGTAAATATGAGTTTATTGTTTTTATCAGAGAAGCAGCTGCTTCTTCCCGAGTCCTGAAATATCAGCAGTATTTTCTCTGATTATGGATTTAGGCCACTGTGAAGTGTTCTTAAGTTTCTTGTCTTAATACGTCTTAGCTAATATTACGGTTAAACCTGTTCATTTCAGGCATATCTAACTGAAGCACAGTTAAGATCCCGGCCCAGAGGATTAATACGCCATTATCCAGAACCACAGGAAGAGCTCCTGGCACACAGACAACACAGACATAATTGAATTAATGAATGCATTCGCTTCCTATAAGAAGAATAATTCCATAATCAGAATCTGTTGTTGTAGGCTTATAAAAGAGTGATACAAGGGTGCCGGACAGCGAATCTCTCACAAGGACATAAAGTCTTTAGGAAGAAATTGTCTCAGCTAAGACACATGTACAACATCGCGCTGTCTGGACAGATCTGCGCTGCTGATTGACAGGACCCTTCATACGAACACGTGCCTTCTTCTCAATCATGCATCAAGGTGACTGACGGGGGATGGTATTAATTTCATTATTCATCCATTATTCCAGCATGTATTTAACCATGTTGGCCCGTTTTGGTCTGATGACCCTTCTCTCTCATAATTGATTGCTCCTCTAAGGGAACATTGGTTAAAGATTTAAAGGGCAATCCGCACAAGCTTTTTATATGCAGGGATGGAGGGTGTTGCTGTACGCTCAGAACATGTTATGTGCAAGCGTCCTTTCCCACCCACACTCTTGTTCACATGTGCCCTGCCAGCAATTATACATTCAGATTACATACAGGGCATGTGCTGTATGAACTACACACATACATACATGTATATGGTTTTTAATAATGTATAGCAGACATGCTGCTGCTCTTTTTAAGCCATGCACGACATGACTTTTTCATGTTTGTATGCTTATACATTTAGGTTTATGTGAGTAAGTACAATATGTGGTACTTTGATTGCAGGGAGAGAAAGAACGTGATTTCTGTGATTTATCTCAGGGCAGTGGTGATTTACTCATCGCATTCTTTAGGGCTGCACGATGATAGCCAAAACGATAATCATGTTTACTCCCACGATTATTGTTTTTTTTTTTTTTTAAGGTGCAAAATATTTTTTCATTGCACATTCACATCTAAATAAGCAGAGCACTTTTATTACTTCCATGTTAGGTTCCATTCCTGCTTATGTCCAAATCCTTGCATCAAAATATGACTTAAATTCTTTTTCACCAGAATTCCTCTCCAAAAGGAAAAATATAGACAAAATTGCACTCAGAATAGCACACTGGCTTGACTCCTGCTTGTCAATACTCACTATAATTTCCCAATGTTCCAAAAATGCCTCATGCAGACAAGGTAACCACTAACTAGGTGGCACAGAGACGTCTCTAGTCTCCCACTAACTTACTGAAGTGCAGCAAATAGGTGTATGGCCAAAAATCATGTTGAAAGGAGTGAGATAGTACGTTTTAATGTCAGACTTTCCTGAGTTGAAACCAAGTGATTTAATTCAATTTAATTAAAAAACCTTTATTTGTTCCCTGGGGGAAAATGATGATAATCACAGATAAAATTCATCTGTATGGACTTATATTTTCTGTAAGCAGAGCATTTTAAATGTCAATATTGCAGTTAATTATTAATTGTGGGAAGCCAAATCGTGATGGTGATTCATATCATTTTTATTGTGCAGCCCGAGCATTCATGCACCCTCTCTGTCCAGTCCTATCCCATACATAACAATGACGTCAAGCTTAATCTCTTAATTAACTTATCTCATAATTTCTATTTCTGCTGCAGATGATTTCATTTCACTGTAAGAATGTCCTTCATTTCCATGCATTTAGAAATATTGTCATTCTAACTCTTAAGAGCTACTTTCCAATTATGCATTTGCTCCCTTCTCGTCGTTTTGAATGCGCCGGGGTCAAGGCCCTAAACATCCGTCAGAATCCACTGATTTCTTTCTTTGTCATATTTATTTTCTTTCTCATTCGGACTTGTGTTCATACCTTTTTCTTCTTTTCCATTAACAAAGAAATTTCAACAATAGCAGTCGAATTGTTCTTACCAGACAGTTCACGTAAGAGTTGTTATTACGGTAGAAAATAGAAGACAAAAACAATAACTGTGCTGTCACTCAGTGATCAAAAGTACGTGTGGCTACAAACCAAAAGCAGCCAGACTTCATGACCACCCAGCTTTTAAATAACAGCTGACCAGCTGATACAATTAATGCCTCAGTCTGCTGATTGCCAGAGGGGTGGGTCTGCTCTCCACATTCTAGTCCAATTCATTAACACAACTACAATAGCCTATTTTTTACTTCCCATGTTTCATTATGTTCATGCTTAATTCATCAAAATAGAAGTTGAATAATGCTCATAATAAGCTCCAACCCTGACTATAGGAAGCCTCGAAGTATTCAGAAAAGGCCTGAGTTCCACATTACAATGACAGAGAAAGCTGTGAAACGCAGCACATGTGTGTCATCATTTGTAGCTCTCGAAAATTCTGCTAAATATGTAAATTCTACCACTGTATTCATTCACTTCAAAAAAACTTTGATGGAGGAAATCAGACCGGTTATCGTTGAATAATACAGCCTTTGTCTTAGTTCTTTCTGCTCCCCTCTGATCTCTCCTCTCACTTCCAGACTCTTTCTGCTTCCTCCTTCATCTCCGACTAGAAGTGACTGGTGACTGATGCTCTATCGTCTATACTCTGAATCTACTGGAGTCTGTCCTGGAGGCATGCTTGTAAAAGAGAACTGTGATCATCACTGCTCTGCGTCAGTTTGTGATAAAGCTGCTACTGCGCATTAGTACCAGTAACAGTGTAATCATCGGGGTCACTGCCAGGGCAGGAAATAATACAGTGACTGGGAAGACAATATTGTACAAATGACCTGAAAGTTCAAAGCATTATCCCAGTTAGACATCAGCAGTATGACGTGCAGGAAAGGTCCAGGACAGCCTGGATTTGACCCCGGACTCACTGCTCGCGGTATTTGCAGCAATGTGGAGGGCGCAATCACCACTCAACTGTCTGGTTGCCCTTTATGTACAAACTCCAACATGTAAACATACATTTTTTTCTTGATTTTCATAAGATTGACTCACACTTGAAGTGCGCTGTATTACTGCCTGTCTGCACTGATACACAATGAACTGCATCATGAAGATAGACAAAAGTGTTTCACATAGTATGACCACAAACTACACTAACTAGAATAGAATAGAATAGAATAGAATAGAATACTTCATTTATCCCAGACCTGAGAAATTATTTGTTACAGCAGCAAAAAGACACCAAATCCCAACAAGTTAGAAAATATAGTAAATTAAGTCTATAGAAATGGAATAATAGAAAAGGACTGAAGTGAACACAGTGAGGCAGAATAAGAGCAGAATGACTATTTCAAAACTATGACTTCAACAGAAATGTGCAAGTTGAGTTAACTGTGCAGGTTGTCTGAAATGAAATAATACAATGGGAATGAAAAATAAAGAACAGGCTCAATACTATTAACCAAATACTATTTAACAGTGCAGTGACCTTAAAATTAACAACAATGAAGAGATCAAATAACCAGTTAAATTAAAAAATAAACTAGCTGTACAAAATGTGCAAATTGATGTATGATATATGTATACTATGAAGTGAAATTAGTGTTTATAGATCTTTGCATAAACCAAAATATCATGCAGATTTACTTTCACTTGAAATATTGGCTGTAAAGTTAATGAACTGTAGGAACAAAGCAGAAGTTCCCTGCAGGGCAAGCATATAATAAAATGTCCCAGTGGAGCGACTGAAGGGTTTTCAATTTTGAAAACAATTGACACGAGCCAAGAATTGCAGATAACAAGGATATGTTATTTACTTCACATTGAAGAATAAAAAAAAAGATAGGCAGAGAAAATATGTTGTTTGTCTTTGCATCTGTGTCACAAGGGACCACGTTTCCTCTCATGCGTGGTAAATCATGTCTCTTTTGGACATACATCGGCATATATGGTAATTTTTTCCCCCTTTTTTTTTGTCATGCGTTATTCACGCATCATCTTCCTCTCCCGTCGGTCTGTCCTCACCGCTGCAGCTCCCTGATCTGAAGCCTCCAGATGTGCTCTGGTGATCATTACTTTCATTAAAGTAAAGGGCAGCATCATTAACCTCACACACACATACATGCACAATGCTTCCTCTCATGCCGTACTCTCTGAGGGATTCACGCACACTGAGGAACAGTTAATAAGCATTGGCACATAAAGCATGAATGTCATTTTTCTCGGGAGATTTTCATTAAGTAAGCAGTTGACAAGGATGAGTTTCTATCTGCGTTTGTGCAGCTCACTCTCATATAACTTTGTCTGGAAGACGAATGCAGCCGTACCAGCGGTTGAAGTATTACATGCTTTATTGTGTGAAAGTACTGGAAAGCTCTTTATGATATTCTAACAGTGTTTCTTTGTACCGGGTGAAACGTTGTTCCAAAAGCGGGATATCTCAACTAAGGATATTCTTCTTACTTGGCTGCCTCAAAGTTCTCATTGGTTCCTATTTGAGCAAAGCCAAACAGCAGTCTGGCAAGAACTAAGAGGTAAAATTGGACAGCTTTCCTCGTTCTTTGTGTAGTAATTCTAATGCTACGGAAAGCAGCCTTGAAATAGGATCACTGGATGTTACACAAATGTCTCTTTGGCATCAGATCAATCCTCATAAGTAAGTGCACACTGGTGTGTGTGTAGCTGAGTTGTCTGACCACTCCAGAGGTGTC